GGGCGTGGCCACAGCCCTTCCCCCTCCCACCGATACGCCCACCTCGCCATCGCACTTCCATCAATGTTTATGCCGCTGACAACAAAAGAAATTAAATTGCCAACACTGAAATTCAATTGTATCTTCCTCCCTGGGCCTCACTCAAAATTCCTGAAAAGCTGCCGTGGCCGGTGGAAAGCGGAAAAGTGCGGAGAGTGACGACATCTTGAATGGTTATTGCCGCTGACTTATTGGAACATTGATTTTCCCTTTGTCGGAGGCCTCAATTGTAGGAAGTAAACATTTTCGCCGCTTTCAATTTATTAAAAGGCGCGTGGCGCAGCCATAAAAAGGTCAATGATTATTACGCCGCCCATGCAAAATGGTAGACATTGACCAAAAATAGTCACAGCTGAGGAAAAACAACTCACGAAATACACACATAAAAATCAAAGCTAGTTAGTGTTTTTGTTTTGTAGATTTGAGTACCTGAAATACACGAATATCATGAGTTGTCAGTAATGTTTGTCGTTTGGTTGTTGATAATTATGATTAGAAATCTAACCAACATTAACTGAGTGAAAAGTTTTTTATTGACTCTGCTTTTTCCCGGTGTTCCAATTTGTTTGGTTTCGATTTTGACGAGGTTCCGAAGTGGGAAAGACCGCGGACTGATGGAATTCTTGTGGAGCTTCGCGAAGATGAAATGGAGCTGGGCTAAATAGACTGGCCCTTTTCGATAGTTCAGTTCACTGCGGAATTAATATGGAAATTTCAGTAGCAGCCGGGCATTGTGCGCCGCTCTTCCTGGCCATAAATCAACATTTAACACAACCTGAACATCCGCCGCCGTTTGCGCAACATTTAAAATGTTTTAACCTTTTCAACCAGCTCCGCCGGGCAGTTTGCCGTTTTCCATTAAAGCCTACTTTGTAGCGCTTTAACTGCAATTAAAACCATTAAAAACGTGAATAATTAAAAAATGTTGCCCGCCTTATGACACATTAACATATTTGCGTATAGCCATTGTTGCCATAACTCCCGCATTGATCCCTGATGGTTAATTTATTTATTGAAACAAACAACAAAGGCCTCCGCTTAATCGGACCGATGGAAACATGCGTGGCGAACATGAATGTGTCCGAGCCAGAATTTCGATTGAACATGTCACATTTGCATTCCGCTGCGAGTGTCCCATTGTCCAAATGCCATCTAATTCGCATTCGCATTCGCTTTCGAATTCAGATTCAGTTTCAGCCTCGAATGGAAGCGATGCGGCTACAATTGCATTCGATTACGGCCAGCGTATAATTGTGCAACGCTAATCAAAGCGGAATCGCTCATGGACCGCAGGGCGAATCGATTAACGTGCCAAGGATGCATTTCCCAGATACAATTGTATCTGCGGGGAGCATCCGGCATTACATGTTATGGCCATTATTGTAACAGCGGCCAATCATCTGCGACAACATGGTCACTGGGCCTTGGGTATTCGGGAAAATGCGTCCTTTTGTTCTTCGAAAATTAAAGAGCATTAGAGGAGTCTTTAATTGGCACCAAGGTAACGCATAAATTTCCATTGGAAAACTTCGAGTGCGAAAAAGACACTGAGGAACAGTCGCAGAATACATTCAGCAGCGACCGGAAATTGCCAGTGCTCTAAGGGGAAAGCAGTACGAAAAATAGAGCACTGAAATAAATAGGGAAAATATTGAAAGAAATAAAAATAATTACTATAGTGTGCGATACCAAACACGTTCTATCCATATTTCTTTATCGTTTTAGTTAAGAACATCGTAATAAAATGGTATAAGCTAGTTGTTAAAAATATTTCGCTTACATTTTTGCTATTAACATTGCAGTACTATTTTCCCGCAGTGCAATCCTTTTGCACTCGCCAGTTGGCATGTGTGAGAGAATTATTATCTTGTACTTCGCCATGTCAAAGAAAATTTGCATTTTTCGGTCTGACAAAGGGCGGCCCATTGGAGGTGGATGAAGAGGAAGAGCAAGAGCAAGAGGAGGAGGAAGAGAAGGAGAAGGAGGAGAGGAAAGGGAATAGAGACAACCGTGTAGACAGGACTCTCTGTGGTGCGATGTCAACGTGTCCTGGCAGTACCAATACCTATACCAAATTGTCTGCCACAATGGACTGACAAGGTGCTAGATTGCATGTGTGGGTCTGTTTTAAATAGAGCAACAATGTGCAATGACAATGAGATGAGAGCTGCCAGCAAATGTGACACAGATACGAGCTGAAACTTTCAAATGTTCGCACAAAACCATTGGGTATTGGGTGCTCATGAGTATGGTGCTTGCGGCCTTCGCCAAGGACCCGCTGCCATCCGATCCATCTGCCTTTTTAATTAAAGCACTCTCCTTTGAACTCAAATTGCGGCTGTGTTTATTGGCAAATATTTTCGAAACCAGAAATTGTTCTCCAAACAATGCAGTTTTCGCTTTGGGTTCAATGATTTTTCAATGTTGCTAGTTTTTTAAAACGAAATTTCTGAAAAAAAGGAAACAAGAAAAATAAAAAATGGAGTTTAACGAACTAAAAAACTCAAACGCTGTTTGCTTAGAATTTCGACCACAAAAGTTAAGAGACTTTATAATCGGGCTAAAATTTTAAGAGTTTTCACACCAGGAAGTGCTGGATTGAAGGCTTGGATTTACAACTCGGAAGGAAATTGTAAATTGGACTTCCGAGAGCATTTGCTATTTTATGAACTATTTTCTTTTCGTTATTTCCGTTCTTTTAATCCCACGCTGCACCTTTAGCCTGCCGCTTAATTGTATAATGCTTTAATTACGATTCCCCGCGGATAATTTAGACGTGTTTGAGCACACGGCCTTGAGTTTGCTGTAAACGCGGAGTGCTGCCACCGTTTATTGGCCTTTTCAGTCGCAACATAACAAAATAATACACACCCATATGGTTCCGTGGAATTACTCCCTTCACCGCCCCAATATCCTGCCCGTCTACCAATCCGCCCATTTAATTGTGCGGTTTCTCAGCCATTTTTATGTGTTTTAATTTTCATTGGAGCACTAAAAACTTGTCAGCGTCGTCAATGTCAGCGTGTTTCCATTCGACGGGGGCAAAATTGGAGCCGAGGGGAGCGGTGACAGCAACACGATCTTGAGGAGGCCAATAAACACTTTTATAAAATTCTCAAATCGCACGTGTTGCGTTTGTCAAGGGGTTGCCGTGGAAAGTGGAAAGTGGAAATGGAAGTTGCTGCGACACGGAGACATACGGCACAATAAAACTGCTAAGTGCATGGGCATGTTGTTGTGGCCATATAGCTCGATATAGCTCTATTCGGGCCCTGCTCCACCGTATATATATGCATTAATCGAGGTGTGCTGCATTCTGGCCATAAAAACCAAGTGGCAAGGGGGTGCACTTTAAAAATAACACGAACCACCTGAGGTCTTTAAGCTATCCGTATCTTGAACTGTTATTATAATATTTCTTTTATGTTTAATAATCATTAAAGATTTCAGACATCAGCTTCTTTCATTAATTCCTATGGCAATTTTTTCATTTATATTCTTGTTTTTCCGAGTGTTCAAAATAAGTGGAAATGGAAATGGAGGCCGCATCGATAAGCTGCCAGAAACAGTGCAGCGCGTGTGCCACATAAAAATGGCATTTTGACATGGCCACCGGGAGGTTGGGGCTTCGAAAGGGGGTTGGCTAATGAGCATTATGAATGCTTGCCATGATGTCATTGCACTTGAGTGGATCTAGTTGTGTTTTCCTTTATGAAGGGGCAACCTTCACACCCCCAACCACGGCCAACTCCCCTCCTCGAAAGTCTTACAAAACAGCGAGCAATGAATGCCGGGGAATTTGTTGCATGGGGGTGGCAAAAAGTAATTGCAACTTAAATAAACAAAACGCCGGAGCAGCGACCGCAGGGCGGAGGGCAAACAGTAGCTGTAACGGGTTAAGTGGCCGCATCCTCCAGTCGCCTTGAAAGGGTTAAGCTCACACATACACACATACGCACTCCGATGGGACACACGTACATTTCTGAAGGGCCTGCCACTTGTGTACAGCCTCATTAGCAGGAACATAAAACTCGGCTCACAAAGAACTCACTTTGTTCTCGTTAAATTAAACTCCGCTTTGGTTTGTTTGCATTTCGGGTTTTGTTTCGGATGATTTGTTATGGTTTATCATTTGTTTATTGGCATTGGCAGTGCACAGAAAGAAAGAACTTTTCATAAAAACGAATATTTAAATGGCTTTTTTATTGATACAGCTGAAGCGAAGCTAAATAAATTTGTTTTTTGATGTTATGTATTTTTTGTCCGAATTATTTTTTGCTTTATTTAATCTGTTGAGGGATTAAATATTTTAAAACGTTTAAAAGACCATCAAGAATTAGAAAGAGAAGAGAAGAGAAGAGAGAGAAGATTAAGCTTATTAATATCTTCCTTTTATCTATATATATCCAACTAGATTTATTAAAAAAGCAGAAATGTCAAATAATGAATTCCCACAATTGGTTTGCATAATTTTTTTGTTTAGTTTGCTTTATAATTTTTTAAAAACTTGGTTAGTTAAATATTGATTCGGATGTGAATTTTTTTCTATCGTACTTAAATATGTAATATTGATTAACGTTTTATTTTCTTTCATATTTGTTTTTATCGGAAGTATTTTTTGTTTTGTCTGCCTGCCACTGGCAACATGTTGCTGCGGTTCCAGCAACATGCAACATGCTGCCGCCGGCTTTCCAGCGTGCTAATTTTGGAAATGCTAACGCACCATGTCTTCATGTTATTTGGGGTGTGTTCTTGGGGACCGTCCTGATAACTCCGCAGTCGACTGTCAACTTGTCGTAGGCGCGGATTGTCGCTCCCGGGAAAAACAAGAAATTCGGTGCGGGTTTTTCGATTTGTTTACATGCCAAATACTTGCGGTTGGGGGGGACGAGCGACCGACCGGCTGCTCTATTTAATTACACAATAACTAAAGTTTGTTTGTTGTTCATTCCGCTTTGCAGAGCACTTCCGGGGAATAAAACAGCTGGACACAAGGGCCATTTATGAGTGCGCGAAGTGGAGTAGCGAGCAGATACCAAATGGATGCCGTCTAAAAGTCTAAAATCAAAGAAAAACACAAATCACAAGTGGAGGAAAAACGTCGGAGACGTGCAACAATTAACGGGCGGAAATCGAAATGTTTAAACAATCAGCAAAATGTGCAAATTCGTGGAGTGCCAATCGAAAGCCAGCTTGAGTGAAAGTGAAAAACTGCGGCGCGCGCAAATTATTAATTATACGGCTGCTTATTAGCGCGATTCTCGCAAGGCAGCGCAGACATTTTGTTTATGGGCCAATTTGCCAAACGCAAATAAAACCGAACCGCTGCCAGTCGTGCATTAATAATCTGCATATTCTCCGTCCCATCCAAACACCCCTTCTCCGATTCCCTCCGAAAAATCACACAGAACAGACAGTGCGGCGTGTGGCGTTGAAGTGTTTATTAAATTGTCTTCGCCGCAAATGGTAGACATTTGCCCGACGAGCGGAGTAATAGTGCTTTCCCCCTCGAAATGCTGGAGTTGCAACTTTGTGCAGATTTGTCAGCCGGCGACTTGAGCGAAATCCACAAAATGGGACACCAAAGGGCCGCGGATACGGGAAAACGGCAGAGCCGGAGAAAATCAGACTGCCGGACTCTCCCAACCAAATTCCTCCTGCTGCTCCTCGCCGTTTTACTGCTGAGCATGGGTGAGTCCAACATTTTGTTTAGTCTAATTATAATGCCAATGATAATGTTTACCAATCGCAAAACATCAAAAAGGCGAGAGTTGAGAAGCCATCAAACAAGTACTGATTTAGCATTAATGTTTCGAAAGTGTGTCGGCAGAAACATATGGGATGTGATTTTAAAGTTTTAAGAAGTTCAATAGTTGGAAAAAAAATCTTTAACATTGGCTGTGTAAGAGTCTCTTAATTATAACTCAAAGCATAAAATATAAGCACTTTATATTTTCGCATCAGTAAGTTTAGCTTGAAGATTCTTTATTTATTCATTTTTAAGCAAACAGACTCCTTTCTAAATGCCATCAATAAATCGCAGAGAGTCTCTGCAGCATCTTAACTATTTTCCGAATCGAAAATTCGATGCCATTGAAACGCACTTTAGGAGTTTCATTTGTTCAATTTAATGAAGTATTTGTCAGGCTTCCACAGCCAGCACATCCCCTCCCCGGCTGTCATCCCTTTTCAAGTGGTATCTGGGCATCTGGGAGGCAGGGACACTGTCAGCCATATCGAAACCCTAACTCAATTGACTGCTCCACTTTTTGCCAAGTCCGCCGCTGCGGCTGATCAATTAAGTGCTTCGAATGTGACTCCAACTCTAAGTATAACCACCCGTTCGAAATAAAGTTGGAAATTACAAGAGTGGCAGACACAGGGAAAAATGTTGAATGTTCTTGGAATAAAAAAAACACGGCGAGTTAAATTTAATAATATGAAATCTTTTTAAATGGTTGTCACTCGCGGCTGTATCTTAAAATAATGGTGAAATATCATTGTAAGCCACATTTGTTTTCCCAGTGCAGATAAAAAACAATCGATACTTGAAATGACATTCGAACAACACTTTGGCATAATAAAATACAAATAAAAGGGACAACGATACACAGCCGCCAATTGATTGACGAAGTGGCAAAGATCTGGCGAGTGGCAAGTGGAGAGTGGGAAGTGGAGAGTGGGAAGTGGAGAGTGGGGGGTAGAAGTTGGAGAGTGGAGCTGGGCAATAAAAAGGATTGACAGGCAGCACAGCTCCGCGTTCTAAGCGGTGGCGAGGTGTCACGCAGCCAGACAAAAGGGGTTCGGAAAAGTCGGGAAAGCGGGAAGTGGAGTAAAGTGGAGGGGCGGGAAAGCAGTGACTGTCAGTGGCAATCAGCTGAGGAATCAGATCCCGCCACACACTCCACTTTTCGCTCGAAGAGCAGCGCTAATGCTGATGCCGAATGCTTGTAAAAAGTTTTTAATGACCCCCGGCTGCCGTGTCGCCATGGCCACAAAACTGAACACTATGGCGCCCGGAATCGAATCGAATCGAATGGAATGGCATCGAACCCAACCAAATCGAATAGAATGAGTGTGCGGAATCGAAAGGGGAAAGTGGAGGGGCAATCCACACTTGCCAAAGCAAATCTGTGTCGGGCTGTTGCTCCATTACTCCGCTGCTAATGAACAGCTTAAGCAGCGCATTTCAATGGGACAATCCCTCGATAGCCCTCAGTGCTGTCGATCTGGTTGTTTAGCGGCCTTTTCCAGTCGTTAATCTGCTACACGAACATCACACTTTATTTCCATTTGTTTTTAGGGGAAAAAACTGAAATACTTCCCTTAATTTAAAAAGCTTTTAAAAGTCAGAGAACAGCAAACAAAAAGCAAAAAGAAGTTAACCTTTTGTTTTGCTTTATTTCATCACAATTTAACTAGTAACTAATATAAATAGTTTTAAAATATTCCAATATTTTAATTATCTAAATTAAAACCTGTGAGGTCCAAAAACAAACTAAAAGTCTTAACATATTTTATCTGCTTTTCCGTTCCTGCACAAAAGTGTAAAATTTCAAGTATGTAGGTGTCTAAAATTACACATCTCAGTTTGGAGTGCATTTTCGGGTTGCCTCGGAAGGGGTGAGAATTTTATGGAAGTTGGGCCTGAAATTGGGGCGCCGTGATCCATGACTTTGGGAGTGCGTTGTTGTAGGTCTTTTTCCCTCCCAAATCCAGTGCACTCTAGTCGTCTAGCCTTTTGAGGATTGGCGGGGAAGTGCATCAGCATCAGCATCAGCACAACGGGAATCTGAGGCATCAGCTCTCTATTAAATGGAGGCCTTGGCGCTAATGGATGGGGTTAATGGGCTGGGGTCGCTGGCAATGTGCTGTATTAGTAAATGTGAATTAGAGCCCAAAACGGGCTGCTATTGTTCTGATGAACGACGGACTGCAGGCCATAACCATTCAGCAAAGAAGTGCGGCGATAAATCAGTGCATTGAAAGCCGTGCGGATTAGTAATAAATTTGATTTGATTTTCCCTGGGATCGAGATTGGGATTAGGTTTTTCATGGTCCGGTGACTGTGTAAACTCGTTTCCATCAATTTATGCTCCGGCGAAAGTGCATAATAATCAGGGACATATAAATACCATAAATCCCACAAGCACACTGCTGGTCTGCCAACGTTGGACGTTAGTAATCAATTTCGCCATTTGCCCACTAATAACAAAATGCAATTCAACTATAATTTCAATACTCACTGACATGAATCAAGCAACAATCCAATATTTTTTGATTTGCTAAACAAACTAGACTACCAAATACCTAAAATATTAGAAGCAGAAAACAATACATTATGGGTTTTAGTATAATTTCCAAACAAGCTTATGCAAACCTCTGAACTTTTTCTGTAATATCTTTTCAGGAAATAGTTTGAGATTGATTGGCTTATAGTAGTATTAACCTATTAAATCTATGCTTATTTTCCGTACTGTTTAAATGGATGGGATACCCTAGTTTACTCTTCCCACGTTGAGAGCCCTCCACAAATGCATCGGTTTTATCATTGAAATATTAATTGCAAAATAATATTGACGGCGGCAAACAAATTACAAATAAAATATGTAAATTTCCTGCGGTTCTCTATTTCTGAAAATGCCAGCGGCGAAAAAGTGGGCGTGGCCGGGCCAAAATTTTCGGCCAGCGAACAAATTATGCCAGTCACGCAAAAATTGCCAAAAGGTAAATCGAATCGCGGGGTTTCGGTTTGGGTTTCGGTTTCGCAGGGCGGGCTTAGGTTCCGCGTCCGTGTTTGTTTATTATTAATGCAATTTGTAATTATTTGTTTCGGTGGCGTGACTGCCAGTATGCGAGCACAGTATGAATGTACGCATTCCCATCCCGAACTCGTTGCTTTTGCCGGCTTGTTTATTTGTCCGCTTGCCGCAGCCATAAAACGCAATTATCGCGCACAAAGAACAAAGCAGAGTGCAGGAAAAGTGCACCTCTTACTATTTCCCCCATCATCCTTCCCATCTCCCCTCTATACCCCAAAAATATGGCCCAAAAACCGAGAGTGTTTGGTGGGGGGGAAGTTTTCGAAAAGCTGCAAAAGTTGTCGCCAGCGCCATAGAATCTCGCATTTTCGCATTTGCGTTGCCATAATTAACTTATTTTGTACATTAGCAACAGATTTTGTTTATTAACGCATGTGCGCTTGCTTTCGGTAATGCGATACCATTCACCCACCCCCGAAGGCTTTAATGTGTTAAGGACTCGGGGCAGGGACCACGGGGCGTATACTTATCTCTCGGCATTGCGAAGTGAGTTTATTTGTTTTCTGCTTGTGGTTCTTGGGCGTTGGGTGGTTGGGCGGCTGATGGCTTGGGTTGGATGGCTTGGCATTTTCTGCGGCTGCTGTCGCATAATTTATTTATCATTAGCAAAATTTGGCAAGCATTGGAATGCTTTTCCCCCTATTTTCCCCCATTCGTGGCTGCTCTGTCTGTGTATTTGGCTAAATAGTTGAAATAATTAGGCTCATTAGAAGTTTTGTAGGTCTTCGGCTGCGGAGCGCTGTCTGATTGACAAGTGCAAATTGGTATTAATGCAGAAGTTCGGGAAACTTCAAAAGCCACAGGCAAAAGGGTGGAGCTTTGAAGAGTTCCCAAGGCGATTATGACGAATTAAATTATAAAATAGCAGGACTTACCGAGAAAGTTGAAATAATATAAATTGCTCTACAAATAAAATGAGGAACTCATGGAAATCCCATCCAAAGATTATTTAGTAGATATATTTATATTTATTTTAATTTGCAATAAGTGAGTTGTATCTGGTTAAAAGATATTTTAATGGTAATATTTTGGAGCTAACGATTTTTATAAATTTTATTATATTCTTTTAGAATTCATTGAAAGCTGATTTAATCTAAACAAATAATGTCCCTTTACCTTTTTCTCAAAATTCCTGAAATATTTTTGCAAGCTCAGGCAAAAATTCGTCGATATTTAAACTCCATCTGTCAATAGTTCACGTTTAATTAAGCAACGTTGCCGAAAAATAACTGGAACAAATCACGACGACAAAATCGCAACTGGCGCACACCCAAAAATACCACAGTTGTGTTTTAGTTTGCTTGGTTCATTCTATTTTCCCTTTGTTTTTCTAGGTATTTCTGGCCGAGCCACTCCCCCGAAAAACAAAAACTTGTTGTTCGCAGGGTCCAAGTGGAAACTGTGTGTGCGAAATGCAACAGCCGCAACAAAAACGACATAAACTTTTAACAATTGCAAAACCAAATAAACAATACGTAGGGCGAAACAAAGGCAGAACACTAAAAACTGCTGCAGGCTATAAATCTGCAATGGGCGGTGAGAAGGTGGGCGGGGTCCTTGTTGGGGGCGGTGGGTGTTGGATGTTGGATGGTGGGCGTGGCTTTTCTGGGCAAAAACGCCGAAGGGTTCTTTGCACAGACCCATTCACACGTATAAAGCAAACACTCACACATTACGGAGAATGCGCCTGCTGCGTAAATAACTAATAAGGCTCGGGGATAAATTTCAAGTGCAATTTTGTGAGCATCGTAACCAAATACAACTCGAAACAAAACAAAAACCCCACGGCCGCCGGCTGCCGGGAAAACTCGCACACAAAAGTTAAGCATTCTGGTTGCATACAGTGGAAAATCTATCTTCTAATGTTTC